CCTAATTCTGAGTCAACTGAAACTGTTTATAAAAATTTGAGGGAAATTCTGCAAATAGTTTCAGGCAAAAAAAAAAAAAAAAAAAGACTAATTGGAAGTCAAAACACTATTTCAACATTTTCCAAACAAAAATGTTTTGACTTCTTGCTTGAAAAAGACAACTTTTTATTCACAGTTTACCAACACCTAATTTTAAAGGAAAGGGGGTAGAAAACTCAGAACAAAGGACTTTAATTGAAGTAAAACAATTTTGCTGTGAAAGCCAAAAAAATCATTTTTGGTCAATCCAATTTTTTTTTTTGTTTCGTTTTTAATTTTCCAGTTCACCCAATGAAGTGAAAAACCAATGCTTTGCACAGCTCGGCCCTGCATCTCCCTAGCAACTGGCCATTTAGAGGGAAGCTTTCCATCAGGAAAGAGGAGAGAAAGCTTTTAAGCTGCCGTTTGTCAACCTTCCCAACATCTGTGCACCTTGTGGAGAAAGCCAGACCTACCCCCAGGTCCAGGAGAGAGAAGCTCATTAGGATTTGAATTTCGTGAACACGAACAGGTCTGGTCCATCATAAAGATAGGGACCTTCTTTCAACCCCCAGACCTCAGTTTGCTGTTCCAATATCCCCAAAATACAGAGCTGCCCAGATCTTGGGCTCTGGCTGAGGGTTATTTATTAACATACTTGCTCTAAAACCTTCTGCACAGGGGGAATAGGCTGGCTGAAGACGGAAGGGTGAAAACCAAGGGGGATAAAAGAGCCAAGTTTGAGAGACCGACTTAGCTGGGTTTATTCTGCCTGCCCCTCGTCGAAGGAGGGTATTTAGCTAACACGTCCTGCTTGGCCTCTCAACCAGAGCAGTACTGCAATGCCATCAACCCGCTTCATCGGGATTATGTCAGGACAGGAATCGGCCGGCAGAAGGGACTCCCCTGGAAAACTCCATCGCAAACGTAGATGTCTTATTTGGCAAGAACTGAAAGATTCAGCCAGGGCAGCAAGCCCAGTACCAGGTGCTGGTCCAGGAATGCCCATATAAGACACGATTCACTTCACTGTGGGCTTCCGGGCTCCTCTCACCTGCTACTAAAAGCATTTCCATTCAAGGGAGGACAGCCAGGGTTATTTACTTCTGAAAACACTCATACAACCTACAGAATTGCCTTGGTCTCATCCACTCGCTGGTTTTCACCTTAAAAGCACAGAACATCAGCAGCGCATGACACCCAAGTCCTTGCCACACACTCACCTAAAGATGAAGATGAAAAGCATCAGTAACATGCAGAAGGTGGCCACATTGTCCATGGTCTTCATGAGGACCACGAGCTGGCGCTGGAGGGCAGGCATGAACCGGACCAGTTTTAGGACTCGCATGAGACGGAAAGTCCGTAGAACCGACAGGCCCCCGCCTTGCTGGCCCACGATCTCCCAGACACTAAGGAAGACAAGAGATTTACAGAATAGACCTCAGCCCTGGCAAAGAAACGCTGAACATAACTGCATGTAGGCATCAAAGAGAGAGAGAGAGCAGGGACAAGAAAAATCCACTCTTAAAACTGGTGGAGTTCAGGGAAAAAGAGGGGTGGGCAGCGGAGAGTCCGTCAGGGATGGCCGTACTGCAAGTGGCATGCGACAGCAGAAACAGAGCCAGATCTGCAGTGGCGTGACAAAAGCACGTTAAAAACATGCCCGCGAATCGCTGGCTGCATCTGTAGGTACAAAATTTCAGCGTTCACGTGCGACCGATGGGGGAACGGGCACAGTGAGCCAGCTGGACGCTTAACTAGAGCTTTGTTAGCTGAAGAGTTCAAGCCAAAACTTCCCAATGATTGGGGGTGTTTGGATCTGGGGCTTTAGTTTGGGCCTCTCTGAAATGCACACAAAGAAGCCTCTGAATACATGCCTGCGTGTCTGTGTACGTGCATCCATCTATGTTTGTGCGAATATGATAAATATAATAGGTATTCATTATGTTATAGGGAGCTATTGAACACCATAGAGAGAACCAGTGATGGCCTGTTAGACAGGAAGCTAAGAATAATGCCCCCAAAATTCAAATACACGGCCTTAATGAGGCATACAAGTGAGAGGGATGGAATGGGCGAAAGAAAGAAAAAGGAACTCGGAGGTGGGCATTACTAGGAGGAAACAGAAAAGACGCATGCTATGAATATGACAAGGTATCACAAACAGGTATGGCAGGACACGTGGAAAACTTCAGAGGTTGAAAGCAAGACAGAGACGAGGTGGATTGCTGCAGAGAGTTTTTTCAGGACAGCGGAGAACTGATAGATGAAAGGACTCTGCAGGGTGCAAAGCCTAACACAGGAGCACATTATCCTGTGCTTGACTTCATCAGCTCAGGGAGGGGAAACCCGTGTAGGGAAAACGCCCAGCTTGTACCTGATCACTACAATGATCCCATCAAAGATGTTGTATGGATTTTTGATGTAGCCAAAAGGACCGTACACAAGGACCTTCAGGAGCATCTCCAGAGCAAAGAGACTTGTGAAGACTATATTGCTGATCTCCAGGGCATTGGTGAGCTCCTCAGGCTGGTGCCAAGAATGAAAAGAGAGGAAAAAATTAAGGAGTTAAACAATACGGGTCTGTTCTCAAGGGATTTGCGAGTTTAAACCAGGTCTGAATTATGAGAGCATATAAATGTCAGTGTAGCAGCATCACTTACACCCCCGGGTCTAGATGAGTAGGCCTGTGTAAAGGAAAACACCAACAGGGCAGTGCGAGATAAAGTACCCATTATAAATTACACAGTAAATCCACCCTTGACATTGACATTAATTACAGCATCAGTACCCTCGCAGGAGGAGACATTTGTAACACTGTCCAATAGCGAGACTGAGCATTTCCATAACCCACACACCAATTATCCTATACGGAAGGGAATGTCAGACTGCTCTCTTGCACACACATCAATTCTGGGTCTGCTTTCTTTATTTACTAGGTATCTTACTCTTATATAAAAACTAACGCCAAGGCTTCAAAAGTGATTAGTGATTTTGCGCGCTGAAGCTGAGATGGTTAAAGGAACCCAATTTTTAGAAACTCCTGTGGAAATTAGCCCCTCTTCGGTGTCTCAGGTTGGGAACCCAAAAATCACTTGACTTGAACATCTTAAGTATTAACTTATACTTTGTATATAATACTGTGCACGTTTCCAGCATGTTTTACCCAAGGACCCCAGCACGTTTTACAAGCAGTACCAAAGCCTCAGACTTTTCATTTGAGCTAGGCATAGGCATGTTATAAACACACCACAGAAAGTAAACGGAGGCACAGAAAAGTTAAGTGACTTCTTTAAGACCAAACCATTAGTCAACGGCAAATCTAGAAACAGAATCTGGGAACTCTGACTTCCCCTCCTGATCCAAGCTCCAATTAGCCTGGTAGTCAGGCCCAGTATTTAATAACTATGGACACATGCTTCAGTTTCATTGAAATCAAGAGCAAGTGATCTGTTGAACAAAGGTTTGAAGACCAAATTTATAAACCTTGTTGGCACCTACAGGTGCATATAGGCACTTAATGGGATTTATGAAAGATCCTAAACAGACTAGGCACTTAACTCTCATGGATTGCCACTACGAGTCAGGCACCTAATTCACTTGGGCACTTTAAAATCCTGCTATGTGCCTATCTCCATCTTTAGGTACCTAAACACTGTTGCAAAATACTGTTACTGGCCCCAAGTCACAAGTCTGCATGCTGTACGTTAACAAAGAAAAGTCAGCATCTGGATGACACTGCAGGTAGTATTAATTATGGACACTAATTAAGAATTACTGTCTGAGCCCCCACGGTCTGGAACAGCCTGCCATCGGAGGTGGTTCAAGCACCTACACTGAACACCTTCAAGAGCAAATTGGATGCTTATCTTGCTGGGATCCTATGACCCCAGCTGACTTCCTGCCTTTGGGCGGGGGGCTGGACTCGATGATCCTCCAGGGTCCCTTCCAGCCCTAATGTCTATGAACCTACAGCTCACAACCAAACCAAATGAGAAGAGGAGGATCCTCAAATGAGGCAGTAGCTGACTCTGTAACATAGCCTGCCTATTACATGCACTCTGGGTAAAAGGATCCTCACTCTCCTGAAACCTCACAACTGGGCACAGCAGGGGTGGCTGAAGGACATCACTTGTAGCCTTAGCTCACTATGGGGTCACTTGTGATTGCTTGTATTTCAAAGCATCTAAGTACCATATGACTGAAGGGGTTATAAATATGCAGACAGATGAATACACAGACAAAAACATTTCTACGTTTAATTCTCTTTCATTGGCTCTTATTGCCGAAGTCTCCCAACGTGCTCGCTGCATCTCCCCTTCCAGTTCACGTTGCCTTTCTCCCTCTTAGTAACATTTGGAGTAACATTTACTCCAAAGACTTGGACCCAAATCATTTTGACATCATCTCGACTTTGCGCTGTAGTCTCTACAGACTTGCACTGATGCTGGTGGGAGTTTGTTGTGACAAAGCTGAGTCCTTATCAAGGGATGAGAGAAATGGCAGTATCAAAAAAAAAGTAGGGAAAAAACTACCGTATGTACATACGAGATATTGTTTGGGCACCTAAAATATCGCAGCCATTTCAAAGTACTTTTATTTTTGTTCCAGGCATAAAAAGGAACTTAGTCCACAAACGAGGTCAGCTCTCAGAAAATGCTTACGTTTCGACAGCAGGAGGAGGGGAAGGTCAAATATTTGAACCTCCTGACGAGAAACCAGAGGGAAAGAAAACAAAGGGTTGGATCAGCTCTTGGCATGATGTGCAGAGATTCATGCCTGTCACTCTCATCAGTGAATAGATCCCTGAGCTAGAGTCTGACAAACACTTGACATATAGTCCAAATGACTTCCCTAGCTGATCTCAAGTTAAAATAAAATAAAAAATGCTTTAGCTCATGATATTATGCACACTTTTGGTAGAAAATGATATACAGCCTGCTACACACGCACGCAATGTAATAAATAAGGTGGGACCTTGCACGTCAAGCTTCACCTCAGGACAATTGCAAATGCTCAAAGTCTACCTTAGTCGTGAAAATGCCAACTCGCACATAACTGCGACAGAAGAGAGGCAGCCTCTGCGGCTGCGATTGTTACAGGGGTTATATTATCATGGAAAGAAACGCGCTTTTGGAATCTTTCCTTCTCATCCATCATCACTGGTAATTTGCAACCGATCCGCCAAATTGCACCTTCACCGACACCCGTGCAACCCGCGCAGCTCAAGAAACAACTACAGGACAGCTGTGAAATGGGACTGCTGGCATATAACTAAGGGGACATGACGGCCCTGCAGTCAGAAGGCAGTGAACAGCCTTGAAGCGTGAGCTCGAACAGAGCACTGCTCGCCCCTGTCCGTTCCTAGAAGATGCAGGAAGATGATTTTAAAAAAGGCAGCCAGGAGAGGAGGGGATTTGAGGCTAACAAAACCATTGATTGATAACACTTTGCATTCCTCTAGCACCTTCCAGCTGAAGGTCTCAGTACATTTGACAAAGCCCTTGGGCATGGGCACTGGCACTAGATACCAGACAGGCAAACAGAGGTTACGTGACTTGCCACAAGTCGGGCAAGGAGTCAGCAACGGCAGAGTTTGAATCGATGGATTTTCAAAGGAGCTTCGGGGCACTGGGCTCCAGCTCTCACTGGGATGTTTTGGGATTTGGGTTCCTTCCCTCCAGACGGCTTTTTTTATTCCCATCCCTCTAGTGAAAGCATGCCGTGCACTAAAGAAATGCATGAAACACGCCATTGAAGGCACCTGCTTCAGGCTGTGTGTACTCCCACATGCCCTGGACACTGGTTCTTTATTTTCAGGTCCCTGGAAAAACTCTAACCCTGGTAAAAAGAGAAATAAGTTCAGGGACCTGTCAGCGGGAATCAGCCCGTCTCCTCACTCGCTGCCAGAAGGGCTGGAAAGCACTGCTAATGATCATCACCCTCAGCTCAGAAGGGCTTCACCTGACAGATGCTGCTGTAAATCATCTTGGGGGGAAAAAAAACAACATCCTGAGATAACCAAATTCTGTAATTGGTGTCACTCCTTTGGCTGGGGTTCAAGCTGCAGGAAAAGTAATTTCAGTCCAAGGAGATGGGCTGGTCCGGTGGGGAATCTGGGTGGCTCACACTGTTTACCTAGCAAGAAAGACACGGTAAGAGAAGATTTGAGAATAACCTGCTGCTTGCATTGCAAAGAGCAGAGATGTCACCTGAGCTGCTCATTAGACGGCCTCGCGGCTGCTCTAACCACAGGCACTGGCAGACCTCGGGGTGGAGGGACTCCATCGGCTGGGCCACGCAGGGGGCTGCTCTGAGCTCAGCATCCATCACACTGGCCTCTGCGCCACAGCAGAGGGTTTATCCCTCGCTCTCATCAAACAGCGCCTCAGGAAAAATAAAATCCAGCCTAATTTCGCTTCCTCTGAAACCCCTCCGGCCAACACAGTTAATGAACAGAATGGGCTCTGCATCCTGGGGGAAGCGAAAACCCTTTTTCTCTGTTCATGGTACAGGTGCAGTGTTAGGGGAGGGTCACCTCACCTGGCATTGCTGGGGAGTCGGGTGCCACGGTTGTAACCCGCTGATTCACGTGCGCGTGAGATGCATTCCCCTTTCTGCCCACCCTACGGAGGATGCGGGCCTGTAACCGCTCCTGGCTACAGAGCCCGATTCATTAATTCTTGCTGTAGACACTCCTGGAGTCCCCTGGTGTGTCAGCCAAGAGCGGCTGCTCACAATTACCTGCCATCACACTACAGCATCCTCTAGAGACTCAGGCAGAGCATCCCAACTTTTCTGCTGATCTTTGCCACTGAATTAGTCTCTGCCCTGGGGCAAACTATTCTGCCTCATTCCTTCAGGTCTGTACAGCACCGAAACGCGCTTGCAGGGGCGTCGGAGCGCCTTCGCGTGTTTTGCACGGCGATCGCTCATCTCTTCTGTTTTTCTTTTATTGTAAATGAACTTCAAGACAAAAGGTCACTTTGAACCACAAGGCTGACATTTTTGCTCAGCAAAAAGTTGGGATGGGCTATTTCAACAATATCAAAAGTGGTTTTCGAGAATTTGTCAAAACGGGAAGTGCCCCGAATGTGATCCTGTCTCGGGAATATCTCCGTTTTTTCTGACAAATCAGTGCTTTCTGACAAAAGGAAAAAAATAAATAAATAAAAGAGGTCCCTGAAACACAAAAAAATAAAAAAAAAAACCTCCACCAGCTCTAGTCATCACAGACGTGGGAGAATCAAAGATGCCTGACAAAGCCCCGGTCCCTTGGGTACGTTGCCAAGTGTGAAAGAAAATCATGCCTCCAAAAATCAAGCTGTTTTTTCCCACGCACTGTCATAAACAAGGGAGTTTGTTTCGCATATTCGGAGAGGGCACGCTCGGAAACGGAATTTGGTGAGGATTTGGAAAGTACAATATTTATATGGTTTATTACAAATGAAACGTAGCTCTTGATGCAAAACACGAGGCTCACTGGCAGCATAACGCTTCCTGCCCACCAATTTGATGCTAGTACATCT